TGAGGGCGTCCAGCACGCGGTTGATCTTCAAGACTGAAATTTCCTTGGTCGAAATTTTTGATACCATCTTTTACATGTAGTATGACTTACAGCGTTCTCTCCATATGCAGCACAAATCATTGCAATGGCTTCAGCAACATTTTTCTTCAGATGAAACGCGAAGTGGATGGAAAATCTAATATGCTCTTTTGTTATTACCATCGTGAGCACTACTGATTTTTGAGGTTATGTGCATCAAACGCCAAACCGTATGACATTTTAGAAGGCTAAATGTCAACGCTTTAAAACCGCAAAAGGGCGGAAAGGAAGATATATAAAATTTAAATTGTTATTTCGGTTGTATGAAATCTAAAGCTCAGAACTTTTTTGTACACCTAGTATATATGTTTTTACATAAAAAATTTTTTATCAAGTACATTACATTTAATAAAGATATTATTCTAATACAGAAAGAAAAATCGGAATTAAGTAAGCCTGCATTGTATGCCAGTTACAAAATTGCTCATTTTGTTGCACATGAATCACGTCCATTTAGCATTGGTCCATTTGTCAAACAATGTTTAGAAATTGCCGCAGAAACAATATATCCTAATGATATTAATAAATTTAAATCAATTAGTCTCTCTTCTCGAACTATAGTACGTCGCATTGAAAAATTAGCTGAAAATCTCGAGCGACAGTTGGTACTAGAAGCAAACAATTTTATTGCTTTTTCATTAGCTCTCGACGAGGGTACTGATATCATTGATTCTGCAATTGGCAATTGGCAATTTTTATTCGTAGTGTGGATAGCAACCTCTCTATTACTGAGGAACTTTTAAATATAATACTTCTGAAAGATACTACGACTGGAGAAGATATATTGTTTAGCGTTGAAGAAGCAATAGAAAACATAAATCTATCTTGGGATAAATTAACTTCAGTTGCTACTGATGGTGCTGCAGCAATGATTGGACACAATATGGGCTTCGTAGGACGTTTAAAGTCTTAAACTAGCACAATCAAAACAAGAAATACATTCGATCCATTGTATCATCCATCAAGAGGCATTATGTGCAAAATCTTTAAAGTATGACGAAATAATAAAAATTGTAATCAAAGTTGTAAATTTTATTAGAACTACTGGATTGAATCATCGTCAATTTTGCGAATTTTTATCTTCTTTAGAATCAGATTATATCGATATCTCCTATTTTTGCAAAACACGATGGCTTAGTCGAGGTAAAACTCTTCAGCGTTTCTTTCATTTACGCGAAGAAATAATTATATTTTTAGAAAAGATAAGCCTGAACTATCACAGCCTTCCTGGATTGTCAATCTCGCCTTTCTTGGGGATATTATTAATCATTTAAATATATTAAATTACTCTCTACAAGGCAAAGATAAATTAATTATTCATATGTTTGATCAAATTAGATCTTTTAAAATGAAACTTAATTTATGGATCAATCAATTTCAATCTCAATAGTTGTTGCATTTTTCAAATTTATTATCTGTTGCCATGCACATTCAAGATAAGCAATATGAAGAATATATAAATTCACTTCAATTATTACATAATGAATTTGATTGTCGGTTTAGGGAAATGCATGTTTTAGAAGAAGACTTATTTATTTTTATGACACCTTTTACTGTTGTTATTAATATTGTTCCAGCAGATATACAATTAGAATTAATAGATTTAAAATGTGACACTGCTCTTAAAAATCGTTTTGATACCATTACTGACATCATACAATTTTATTCATATATATCTCAAGAACGTTTTCCTCGACTACATGCTCGTGCTGCAAAAATAATGAGTATGTCCGGTTCTACATATGTGAACAATTATTTTCTATTATGAAATTAAATAAATCGTGATAACGCAAACAGTTAACAGATTCACATTTAAATGCAATAATTCGTTTAAGTTGTCAAAATGATAACACCTGATATATCATATATAATATCGAAAAACTGAATATGAGTCAAATATTAATTAATTATAAGAGTTACTTATAAGAGTTGCTCATTTAATATTATTGTAAGAATGGTTTATTTAAAATATAGATAGTTACTAATTTATGCTAATTCTGGGTCTGAAATTTGTGCAACACAATATTTTTTTACTCCTTGAATAGCACATTCAACGAACAGATGTTCCTGCTATCCCCTTTCCTCACTTTATTGCGTCTAGCCGCCTAATGCTAGCCCCAGCGCGCTCGACTATTGCCCGCGGGCATTGAGCGCCCGCGAGCAGTGCTCACTTACCGATTCCTGCCGTAATGGAAAGCCTCCGATGGAATGCTGACGCCAGCCTTCCTCGTCAAATCCAGCGTGAGATCGCGTTGTAACGAAGAATTCTGACGTCTTACCGCATTCTATCGCTCGTGAAGTTTCCCCGCTCGCAACGTTCCGCGTTCATGATAGATTTGCGCGGCTATGAGAGAGCGGGGAAAACACAAATTATTCGAATTGGAGATTGTTAAGATCGAACGTTTCGCAACATCTTCCCGCAGAAGTTTATTCGAAACGCCCCCGCGACATCTGGGTGCCGTGACATTGAAAACGCGTACGTTAAAATTCTGTGCGATATCGAGACCTCCGGCGCTTTGCGCTACTGAACTCACAAGACGCCAAATGTCCTCATGAGTTAAGTCGCGTGCCGATCGAAACGATAATCCCGGACCGTGCGTTAAATCCTCCGAATCGAATGAAAATCCCACGTAATCATGCGGTTCGGAGGTATGCAACGCACAGGTATGAATTTCAGCGAATGCGTTTTCAAGCCAATCATAAAGTTCGACTCCTTCGGGTAGCGGATGCAAACAGAATATCGCCTCCCTTCCTAATATCTCGAAATTTTTAAACGGCGCGAATTTTTCCCGATTAATAATAAATGGTTAAAATTTCTACCTCGTGCTTGTTCCCTTTCCTCCTCTTCCTCCTTCTCTTCTGTATCCTCTTCCATTTGTTTCTTTCTCCCCTCCACCTCCCTTTCTTCATCTGTTTCCTGTTCCTGCTCTTCCTCCTCTTCCTCTTCCAAATTCTCCTGAGCAGGAAATATTCGGCCTCCTCCACGTTCCATCTTCGATGTTCGCTTCTGCATAAAAGTTACAAAAAAGAATTTTACTATAATAGAATTTTACTTTATAGAAAATACTTCGATAATGCTTCGAATATTATATCCGTATTTAATTTAATAAACGTGCATACATGATATTTTTCGCCGAGGTAACTCGCTTTTTAACGTTGCCGTCTCCTTCTCACATGAAGAATAAGACTGAGAGGAATTCTTATTAAAAAAATTCGATAATTTAAAATTAATACGAACATAAATCGAGAAATTAAGAAAAAAGATTATATACCAGCAGGAGGTGTTTCTCGAATTTCTTCTTCGGCTTCTCGTTCTTCTTCGCGTTCCTCCTCCTCCTTCTCTTTCTCCTCTTCCTCCCCCTCTTCTTCCACTTCTTGCTCTTCTTCCCATTCTTCATCTCCTCCCTCTTCCGGTATTACGGGAGAATATATATGATCGTATTCTAGGAAAAAAGTATATCATAAATTTTTATTCACGATATTAATATTATGCCCTTAATTAATATAATTATTATGTCTTTTAATTAATATTTTTTTCTCTCTATCAACTTACTAGGCGAAAACACACGTGGGTCGGGAGTACTTACTTCCGTATCTGAAAAACAAAGTTGTATTAAGATTTTTTATCTTTTACTATTTGTTTTAGAGATTATTTATTTGAAAATGTAAACCTACCAGACGAAAGCTAAATAATTTCTGGAGGCACCTCCTTCTCCTGCGTTAATTCAACACGTGCCCTTCCTAAAAGCATTTAATATTTTAATCTTAGAAAATTGTAAAAAATTATATTTTTAATATTACTCCTGTCTAGTTTTTTAGTGATATTACTTACGCGCTGCTCCTTCTGGCTCTTCCTCCGCGCGTCGCCTCCGAATCTGCATGAGAGAATACCAACGCAGTAACCCTTTAACGAACATTTCCTTCTACAATTTATTATTAAAAATTAGCTAAATCGAGTTTGTTATTCGAATTACTTATATATAAAAATAATAGTGCGGTACTTATCATTATGGAGATGCGAGAGGAGATTTTGGATGTCCACCCACATCTTCCTCCTCGTGTCCAGCTGCACGTCGCGATTCGATTATTTCTCCGGCAATCCGGAGTAACCGCGCGTCGGTACTAAAATATCCTAATCAATACTCCCAATATTGTATCGGAACATTCGCACGAAAAACGTGTAAAAAGCAGATAGTTAGCATTGAGCGAAATATTGGATATTTTAGTAAAAAATTTCTCCGCATTTATGCGAGTATCCAGCATGCTAATTTTACGCTTCTTCTGATTATTTCACTGCCCATTTTTCGCACCTTTATTCGTACAAAATAATCCGAACACAAACTTTTAAAACTCGCGTGATGAAACCGAAGTGAAGCAGAAAGAGCTCAACTCAGAAATAGTTTTAGGTAGCGCAAAACGCATTATATATAGAGAAAATCCTACCTTTTCCGTACGGAAAAGAGACTTATAAAAAATTATAGAACTATTCTGTAGTTTCAGGGAGAAAGGGGGGTAAGAATGTTATCTCAGCCCAAGTAATAAATAATTTTTCTTGAAAATTTGTATTCCTTGTATCTAGACTTGATCTTTTTTTGATTTCACCTTTTTTTGTTTACTAACGCATAAATGGCGCTAGACATATGTTGCATCCAAATGAATAGTTATTTAAATTTTGTAGGAAAGTTTTTCGTTTCTTTCAAATTTTAACATTTATAAAATATTTCTTCTCGTAATTCTATTGTATATCTCGATAATTTCTTCTTTTTGAAATAGTTTTTGTACGATTTTTTCAATGATTTTTTAATTTTCTCATCTAATAAGCAAGTTCGAACGTGATCGAACCTGCAATATCCGCTTTATTTGAGAAAATTCTTTCCTTGTTGAAAAAAGAGCAGCGTCAAATTATAGTTTGACTCAAATGTTTATAAATAATTTATTTATTATATATTTATATATTGTAAATAAAAATTAATTTATTTCTATAATAAATTGTAATATGTAATGTATAATGTATAATGTATAAAGAAACTTATATTAAATTTATTTTACAACACATTATTTTTGTGTATCCATGAATTGTGCGAATCATCAAATCCTAACCATTTAACATAAACCTTCTCCTTTTGCCTAATACTTTTTCAACGAGATACATGTCGAGATTTATGACGCGATGCAATTCGTATTTGCAGAATCCTCCAGTGATTGATTTTCCGCATGAATTTTGCAATAGATACGTCACGAGATTAGTTTTCTGAATTTTGATGATCTTAAACATCTCCGTGGTTCAATTTGGCGTATAACCTTTTTCAAATATTTTCTTGAATTTACTCACACGTACCGAGTCTCCTACTTTGAATCATGCGAGTGTAGCAATTTTTATGTGATTATACACTGTAGTTAAGAGTTTGTCTGCGATTGCGGGAGTAACATCGATAGGTCGCATATCGATAGTTCGATGCTTTCGCGTATTATATGCCGAGACATGGTAACAAGCCATCTACAATTGCCATTATAAGTAAACATCTTCCACATGTCATTTTTCAACGTGCGATTGAACCGTTCGACGATTGATGTTTTCATTACAGAATATGTCGAATAGTGATTAATATCGTGTTTCTTTATTACTTTTTGTACATTTGCATTATAAAATTCCGTTCTTCTGTCAGTTTGCAAATTTTCCGGACATCTTCCATCGTCTCGAATTATCTTTTCGATCGCAGTTGTAATTTCGTCTTCACTCTTGATCTTGAGCGGCACGGCCCACACGTGCTTGCTCAGCATTGATAACAGTGAGGATATAGTAGTAATCTTTGTTGAATCGCGTATAAGGTCGCATTTCGACTAAATCCGCTTGCCATCAGGTCATCATACCCGCATACTATGACACGTCTTTGTGGAAAATTTCTTCTCGCCGGAGCGTGCAGTTCCTCCACTAGCCATTGCTTCTCAGAATTTTTATTCTTTTCGAACATCACGACATGCAAATGACACAAACTTTGGTATATATTCTCATCTACGTACTTTCGACGCGATAAGTAATCATCATTTGTCGAAGCTCGTTTAAAATAATTTGCACGTCCTTTTGGAACGCAATCAATTTCTTCTCGATTTTGTTCTGTCGATCTTTCAAAATTTGCTTACTATTCTTTTGCTTACTATTCTCCACGTACCGTTTGTTTACAACGCCATCATCTCCTGGTAACGCTACACGTCAAATTTTGTGTGACTGCGTCAAAGTCGGCTGCGACTACGCAAGGAGCGCACGTAATTTCTGACTAATCCACTCCATTGGTAATACGATTTCGCTTCACTTCTTCCGAGTGATGTCCCAAACTTGTCGATTGGCATTTCTTGTTAAATGACTCATTTTCTTGACACGCAGTTCAATTTATAATGAGATCAGTTTCAACAAGTTCCTCGATAATTGACTGTATCTCGTTGTCGTGAGCATTGTGACTAGCTTGATGCGAAGCCTCGAATAAATGGAGACAAGTTCATTTGGATCATCCCAATGCACGTAATCGATGGCATTATCGTTTAGTGTCATGACACGTGGTATACCTCTTTTTGGGGTAGAAGGGGTGCGATTACATATCTATATTTGTATCCTTTATTACCCATAAGCATATTATGATCACTGGATTAAGCATATTATGATCACGTCTATCACGTTTGTCAGTAGCAAAATATCTCTCCATCGAGAGAATAGGACCATCATCACTCTGGAGTACCGGTCGTGGGGATTCGAGAAAATACATATATATATATATATATATATGTATATTGTAATATGTATATATGTGTATATATGTGTATCATTGTATTGTTGACGTGTTATTCTAAACACGTTATTTGCGATAAATATCATCATATGTCTTGGTAGTCGAAGGGATAAGATGCCTGCCCGGTAAGCAGGAAATCCAGTTCGATTCCTGGCTGAGGTTGGGATTTTTTTTCGTCAAAATAATTATGAGTTTTCACGACTGGTTCGTCGTCGGGCCCCGTCGTGATGCACACCCTTCCTTTTCCCTTTGTATTTCTGTTTATCTTCTTCAGTATACAATTCATCGTCAGGTACTTTTTAAAAATTAACTCGTAAAAATCTTCTAAAGACCCAAGTATCTTATTCCATTTATAAATATATGTCATCTTTGTCTACATCGAAACGCTTATTGCCAAATATCATGCCATCGTTGATGAAATAAATCATAAACGTTATCTGTATCCTTGTTTCCAGTTAAAACAGCTCCCACGTACTTTTGTTCTAGTGGACCGAGATGATTTCGCAACGTTTTTAGACCTTCCGAGGTTTATACTTAACTGACGTCGAACAGACGTCACCAATGACTCGTTGATAGTTTCGAAAACATCTTCGACAGATAAAATATTGTTCGAAGACTGCCATATGGCGTTGCATGATATGTTACATTAATCGGAACAGAGATTATCACTGATATATCCGATAAAGCGTTTGATCGTTTTCGTAGAATAGAAGTTATCAGTGAATTATCTAAATTTTGCGACCGTTTTCGTTTTGTCTCTTTTGTTACGTTAGGTTCCATCTTATAGTTAGATTTTTCATCGCCAGTATTTTCAACAATTTGAATCAAAGGTTCAACAATCTGTTTGAACTGTTTGAACTTTCAAAGCAATATCCTCCTCCATTTACCCGTTTTTAAGGCGCAATACTTCTTGCGAATTGAATCGCTCGTTTTGCAACAATCTGCTTCACTATCTTTTCGCGATCTCTAATCTTCTCGTTGTTATTCATGTTCGTAGACGTTGTCTAATCGACGTATCAACAACAATTAACAACATTATAGTATCGAGTATAGTATAGAGTACGGAGTGAAACCGTTCAGTAATCAAAATTTCTTATCTTATGTTAATATTTACAATATAACATCCGAACAGTTACAATATATACCGAAAGTTGTTTTGCTATGAGAATTTCAAAATTGCATAAAACTCTTGTGGGACAAGTTGCCATATAAAGACAGATTTGGAGGTTCGATTTATCGTCGTTGCATCGAACATTATAATCAACCGTGGCAACGTACATCGACAGTCCGACACCGTTGATAAAGAATTGTGATGAATGTCAGCGAGAGGTAGAGGTTTGTTAAATCGAGTGATAAATGCGCTTTCTTTCGAACTGCATATCCCCGGATAAAA